TCCCGGAAATAAACGCTGGACCTCGAAGAGAATCGAACGCCCCTGTGCCAGACAATGCACCCCCTTCTCTATCACCTTTTCGACTTCTTTGTTGGCACCATGAAACCTACGGCAGATCTCCGTGCAAGCATGCAGTTTCAAACCCAAACAGTCAGTCGCGAAACGAAAACGCCCGGCAGTAGTGGCATCGACTGCAGACGGGCACACAAATCGCCGCCTATTTCTGTCTGATTCGTCAACAGGTAGACGATTCTTGATTGACTCAGAAGCTCCTAACCCTTTTATGGTTTTCTCAGCAGATAATGGCTCTTCAAGTACTACTTACAGACAGAAATCCCTCACACTGGACTTAGGACTTTGGCGACAATTTCGTTGAGTTTCTACTATCGTAACTGTTACTCACCCCACCATAGGCGCGGACTTCTTTGGACAATTTGGTCTACTCGTCGACCTTAAGAATAAGCTTCTAACCGAGCCTCTAACAAGCCTAAACGTCAGGTGCCCCGTGTAAATAACGCCAGCCGTTTCGAGCACATGTTTCAGCTTGGGATAGTCCAACGATCAGATAGCGACTAGTCATCAGCACTACAATGATTTCCAAGAAAGTTGATAGTGAGTGGAGTCCACGTGGTGATTATCGTGCTTTAAACACCGTCACGACTCCGAATCGATATCCTGCACCTAATCTTCACGAAAATCTGTGTTTTCGAGGCTAGATTTGGTACGTGCCAAATATCAGATTCCGGTAGAACCACTTGATATTCCCAAAACATCTATGGCAACGCCATTTGGGTTATTCGATTTCGTGAGAATGCCTTTGGCCTAAAAAAACCTTTCAGCGTTTCATCCATCCTGTGTTAGCTGGTCTGGGTTTTGTGTTTTCGTGCATCGACGATGGCCTCTTTGCTAGTGCGAATCAAAAGGAGCACATGAAACACATTGATGATGTATTTCAACGCCTCAATGAATTCGGCTTGATTGTCAATCCATCAAAGTGTGTGTTCGGCGTTCCTGAACTCGGATTCCTGGGACACACCGCCTCTGCTTCAAGCCTAAGGTCTACGGACATTAATGTGAAGGCGATTCGCAAATTCCCGGAGTAAAAGTCCATTAATCAACTGCGACGTTACTTGGGCGTGGTTAATTTCTACCGTCGATTTCTTCCCAACGCGTCTCAGACCCTACTACCTCCGACCAATTTACTCAAAGGATATTCGAAATAACTGATCATGACGGACGAGGCACGTAAAGCCTTCACGGCTACAAAGGAGGCTTTAGCAAGGAAAACCGCACTAGTTTACCAACGATCAGATGCCACTCTGGCTCTCCTAACCGACGCGTCTTTGTCGGAAGCTGGTGTGGTCTTATAGAAAACAGTCGACGAGTCGTTCAGCCACTAGCTTATTTTTCAGCCACGTTCAATGAAGATTACACACGTTACAGTACTTTCGGTCGTGATCTTCTGGCTATCCACCTCGCAGTCAAGCACTTCAGATATCTTCTTGAGGGTCGGCAGTTCACGATCTACACCGACCACAAATCGCTGACCTTTGCAAATCGTTGGGGTTCGGATCGATTATCACCAAGAGAATCAAGACACCTGAATTATGTTTTAGAGTTTTTAACCGACTTTCGACACCAACGTGGTTGAACTCTGAAGTAAACGGTTATGTCTACTTCCTCTCCGGTCTTTTTCTTCATCGCAGGTCGCAGAGAAATGCATTCGGGCCATGGTAAAACGCAGTGGCCCCGGCGTGGTTCAAGACCGCTACAATTGGTGACCCCGACGTGATTAAAGGTACTAAAAATTCCACAGGCAACGCATATCTGTAGAAGTCACCAAATCCAGTCAAACCCGGTGTAGTGTTTATTGACAAATTTTGTTTATTATGCAAAACACGGAAGTGGATAACCATGTACGCCTCACAACCAACCAGAAATTAATGCCTTAGCTTATCTTAATTTGGTAAATAACCAACACCACCCGTTGAAAAATCCTAGAGGTGAGGGTAAAACGGTTCGGAATGTTGACTTTTGCCAGTTGAACAAAAAACGCTTTCGATTCCAAACCATTTCTCAATCATTTAGATTTTTGAATAGCTTAGCTTGTTTACCCAAATGGTTTTCATAATGTCACTGTAGGACTAAAAATTTTGCTTTTTCAACTCACCGTACGTGCAAATTACTACTTAGTTCACGCCAAATCGGTAATTGAGTTTTCCCTAACGCAAGAAGCTAAGTTTTCGAATGTACAATGCATTTTTTTCACCTTAATGGCACTGTAAAATGCTGAATTAATGCTGGTTTTGTAGAAAAAAGTCGCATTGTGGAATCAGGTGAAGACCAACACCTCTCACTCACTTCCTGACGTTCCCTTGTTGGCGCCTACGTCACACCAGTCAGGACGCCTCTACTGGTAGTGTGTTTTTACGAACCCACTCGAGTGCGATTTGGTAAGCGCGATGTAGCACCTCAGCTCTTGGGGCAAACAGGTTGAACGGGACATTAAATTTGCCGGCGAACTGTTTTGCGGCTTCCTGACAGGCCATTAAAGGCGTGGTTTTAATTAAGTAAAGGCATGCAAAAGATTAACATTTTCCCAGGAAGTAAGGTTAAAATACTTGCTTTGACGGCATAATTAGAAAGTGAGGTAATTTTGTTAATGCGTATGTATTGAAATTGTCGTCTTCTGCATTAATTTCAGTGATATTATTGAAAAGGTTTGTTTAAAGTAAGTGAAACAAAACGGAATGGTTAATTGGTCTTTGCACTCCCAACTCTTTTTGTCTTTGGAAAGTGACTAGATTTGTCGCTTGTTGCTTTTTTCCGTACGTTTTGGAGATCGTTAACCGTCTGGTCTTTCAATCAGAGCTAAAAATTTTGATGCACTTTTATCCCAGATCAAAATTCGAAGACTTGCCATTTAGTTGGTGAGGGTCGTTCCAATAGTCATATATGGGAATTCGACTTCATTACAAATAAGAGTACTCATTCATGATGGTCTTGGATTGGTTGTACACGTAACGGCGCTGTAACTGCGGTTTAGGCAGCATCCATCATTGCTAAAAGTGTCAAGAAACAATGGTGGCAAACTGTGACACGTTTAGGGAGTCTACAGAAATGTTCTTAAGCAACTACCGATATAGACATTTCTGAAGTTTCAAGCAAAGCACCGTAATGCCTTTATCTAATTACTACTAAAGAGGAGGTTCCATAATCCTTCTCAAACAAGCCAAGATCTCATTTAACAAACGTAACGATTTTTTGGACAGACAGCTAGAAAATTTAAAACTCTCACTTGTGTGAATTAAGCGAACGTATAAAACACAGTTTAACCTGCAACCTTTGTAAACAGACGTGTTCTCTTTCTACCATTTAGCTTTGAAACACATTCCGGAGTCGCACTTTACGTTTTTTCTCCATAAAATCTAACCATCAAATACGCATTAATCACGCTCGTGTTTCTGTAGCTAATTTTATCAACGGCTTGAGTTCATCTTCCTCACACCATAAGCCACCATTGTTACCTCACGGCATCGGCCTTGATTATTTCAGTAAGTCATGTCTTCCATTGTTAATGTCAACTCTGTCCCAGACAAACATCATCTCTGCTAGAAGGTTCAAATGCGTATTTATGGAGTTGTTCGGCGTTTTAGTTTCTAGACTGTTTAATTAGCAGACACCAGAACCTTAAACTTAAGGATTTTCACGGCCTGAGATCACTGTTTTCTTCCTTCGCCTTACGTTCCACATTTTATGCATCCGGTAGTAGCATGCAATAAATGCGAAACTTACTTCCGAATTATTTATTATATTAATAAACATGCCAGTACGTCTGGGTGCTGTGGAGATATCGCATTCTCTTAACATACTATGTAGGTAGCGGATTGAGCATTTTCAGCTCCTAATAGGAGCATCTTACCTATGCGATTATCAGGAAATTTGTGCTATTCTTTCTGCAACCTTGAGCCTTTGATCCTGTGATTGTCGAGTGGTGCTTTTAGCCATTTGTACAACCAAGTCAATCGTAGGTTTAATATCTCCAACCAAAATTGCAAAGAGCAATCCTACATTTTACCCTAAAAACGTGGCACGTTTTTCACCAAATATTGCCTTTAACTTAAAACGTTTTTGGTTCCACTGATTTGCTCAAATTTGACTTCAGACAGCGTAGGTCGCTCTACTGCCTACTTGATACGGGGAATGATGAAATTACCCCTGATAACTCACAACAACATTTTAGCTTGTGTTATTCATCAATTACGCACCATGCTATAAACTAGTGCTGAAATTCAGACAGCCAATCCTCGTAAGGCATCGCTTTTCTTACAAAGTGCAACCCAGAATAGAAAGTACGTCTATTTGTTGGCAAATTGAATTACATGCCTATGGGTTAGCGCAGTCCACGAACCACATAATAAAACAAATATCCGAAATCATTGTGTATTATCGGAATAATATCTTGAGTAGTGCATAATAATGCTACTATCGGTGCTGCCATATCATTGCGCAGATTTGAATAAATCGTAGTAGTTAAAACACTCAAGGTGCTATAGAGTGAGTTAGCTGGATATTAATTAAAATGGGATTGTCTAACTGTTAAACTGCCTTAATTTAATAAATTTTGCATTGAGAGGGAAAGCGTGGCCAATGTAAGCAAACCCATATCAGATTTAAAATTTTTATGCGGAATCCCTTCGAACAAACGAAGATCATCTTATCAAATTTCTGACTACAAATGCGTCATTTGAAAGAGATTACTGTCATGATGGCCAATCAATAAAGCTGCTTTGGTAACTAACAGAAGTACAACATAACTCCAGCAATAATCGTTACCCCAACCAGCAATTTGATTGGCTTTTTAGGCAAAGGTGAACTCAACTGAACCACCCTGTCATTGGCTATTCCGTCGGACACCTGCTTTCGGCCAATCATCAGAGGATTTGGGAGTTACATAAGCAGAGTCAGAACATTTCTCTAACTCACTGATCCTTCGAAACATGAGGGCTTTCCTAGCTGCAGTCTTCGCGCTTCTAGCCGTGATCGTACTGACCACCTCGGCCGAGGAGTCTAAAGGCCACGAAGAAGACAAGCGAATGCTCTACTGGAAACGCGACAGCCCGTTTGACTCCGAAGAAGGTTAGCTTCGTTCTATTAAGGCAGGTAAATTAAATTTTTTTGTAGACTTGGATGAAATGAGGCAGATGATGCATTACTTGAATCCACGCCCTCGACTACACAGACTTCGTGATCTAAGAAAAAGGATGCTTTATTGGTAACGAAAGTGCCGCTCATTTCTGAAGTAGATGGTACGTTTACATTTTCCAAAAAAACATGCACTTTACAAAAAAACCCCTTATTAGACTCTCTTGTGTATCGTAGAAAATTCATGTTTAATTCTTTGTGGTAATTAAATAGTGTTGGTAGCAAGACTACTGCCTAAACGGTTGGGGATCAGTTTCATTTACATATCTCTTCTTTCGAACTTTTCAGACCCGTCTCAACGCAACACAAGCAGTTTCCTTCATCCAGCAAGACGTTTTTATTCTAATTTGTCTGCCTGTTAGTGGTGTACTTAAATAAAATCTAATAAACCGTCATTTATTATTTTTTGGCTTCCTTTTGAGTCTAGTCATTGGGGACTGTCGCTGCACTAACTTCGTGCTTTTTGCCCTACCCTAGACATTGGATTAAATGGGACATGGAACAAGCGTCCCCATCGCATCAAGTTATACCGAAACTTAGTTAGTAGTCCTATTTTTCGGTTGGGATGTAGCATTTTTGTTCATATTAACACAAAAAACGATTGTTTAGACTTCTGCACCAGAGGACAAGCCGGCAGCTCAGGGCTGGGTTCGCACCCCTGACCTTTCGATGTTAGCTCAAGTGTTGTCTTCATGTGCCGAGGTGAGCGGGCCAATGACCATAGATTTTTCACAGACGACATTCTTGTAGTTGTTCGTGCCCTCAGGTTTTGACAAACATAAGTTGTGTCGTCAATTTACTACAATTTGGCATAAATTTACCCGTTAGTCAAGTTATTTCCGACAGGCGTGTCACTTTGCAAGTCAACGATGCAAACACCAAAGTGCTCCGTTTGAAGAATCAATTTCAAATCACTGGTTTAGAACAGACAGCATAGCAGATACGACAAACGCCTGACAGAAAGGGTGTGTTTTTGGATCAAACATGGGATCACTGACTTTGGTAGCTTTGTATATAGATTTTGCCTACTTGAAATTAAAATCTTGTTTAACATGCCTGAAGTGAGTTAACTTGTCGTTTGACCGTCTTGATTCTTATAAGTACCGCCTAACAGCCAAAGTAGCAATGTAATAGAATAATTTTCAAGATTTATGCCGTTTTTACTTGAAAATGAACCATTTTCCATGTCTAAAAGTAAAATTTCATAATTTCAATTTTACATGATTTTAAAAAATTAAATTTACTGTTGAAAATCATTTCCCCACAGAATGCGGTAGATAATTAACGTAACTAGGCCACTGTAACTCTCAAAGTTTTGCATTAATGCAAACATAATCACTTTTCTTAGACTTTAACCCTCCAAGGACAAAAGAAGTCTTTTGGAGAAAAAATTAAAATTTGTGGCGATTTGACAATTTCGTTCGATTCCTATTTTTCTTCGAAGAACGAAAAATGCCCTCATTTACTACTCTGCACTTTTTGTTACTTAGAGTTGGGTTTGGATTTTGGCATCTGGGCTGCTCATTCGATTCGGGCCGGCACGACTTGTTAGGAATAGAGATTAAGTCTGCAGCCGTTCTAATCCACTGGGCATAGTGTGTTAAAAGAAGGAAAAATTGGATGGCAGGGCCGAGTGGTCTAAGGAACTGGTTTTAAGCACCAGTCCGAAAGGGCGCGGGTTCGAATCCCGCCGCCGTCATGCCCCTTTGCCATTCCCTTCCCCCTGCAACACTGCCTACTTCCCTCTGCGTGTCCACAGCCCAAGCCAATTCTTGCGGGATTGCTTATCGCTCCAGCACTTGGCATGTTAAATTGTGATTTGCTAAAACCGCTAAACGTGGGTATTTGTTGATATCTGGGAGTTAAAGGAATGGCTGAGTTAGAGACGCAATTGTATCGATCAACTCAACCTGTCATGCCCTCCTTCGTTAGCCCATACCGCATTTGACACGCTTTTTAATCAGATGAGTCCATTAAAATATACGAAGTGCACTTTTCAAATAAGTTTGCGTTAATTAAGGACGATGATAATTCGATGATTTAAATCAAAAATCAAACTTTCGAGAACATTCCTACAAAAGCAAATCGTGAACTTAAGAATACTTTAACGAAACGCCGGATTTTTGGATTTTGGCGATTTTAATAAGAAAGAGCGGACTCTTGTCAGACGAATCTTGATTCAATTACGTTAAAATCAGCCTCATATACAGCCACATGATTTGAGTTTCACGATAAGTGGAGTGGTAACATTTTGCGAAATTTATTAAGAGGTAATGTGCAAAGCGACTCACTTCAGAAGTGATCTTTCCTGTCTCAAATTACGCTTACGCTTGCAGTTTAGTAATGGTAAAATGTGGGAATTTCAATTAAGCAACAGTAGAGAATATCAGGACATCAGAATGTCGTCAATTACACTCCGAACGGCTATTTCAGGCGAGAACAAATATTCACCGATCAAAATTAGAAGAACTGTTTGTTATAATAGTTGGAGAAATAAAAGCTAGACCGAGGCATTGATCCCCGCGCCCTCGCACAGTTTCCAAGTCTAATCCCCCGAGAGATCCTCCTTATTTTTGAAATTTCGGTACACGATTTTATGTTATTTTGAGAAAGTTTTGACTCGTCAATAGCAAACTTTACCTAGAGGGCAAAAAATGTCTCCTTTGGATCAATTATTTGCCAGTATTAGCTCCTTCATAGCTAAATTATTGCATTTGAAAAAAACCCAGAAAATTAGCACTACATAAATAAATGTACTCAGATTTCAATATTTAACTACTAGTTGAGTTGTCTGTAGTAGAATTTATTTCTGTTCTATGTTAGCTGATCTTTCGCTGGATGCTGCAAATTTCTCACGACAAATATGATGATGAAGAGGCGAGATTAGAAAAAAAGCTTGGTTATTCGTATACAACTTTTTCGTTACTCCGAATCGGCACGCAAATACAGAAAAATACAAGAGCGTAATTTAGAGAGCACACGGTGTGTGGTATTTTTTAAGTAGGAATGACAACATATTATAACCTTAAAAGCAATTAAAGTACACGACATTAATTTAAAGATATAAACATTTTTCATCTAGCTGAGCGTTTACTCCTGGCTAAGCAGCTATCTCCGATCGACGTTTGCTCCTTTCCCAGAACAATGAACTCACCACATAATTACCGAATACCAAGCAGGTACAACGTGTCCGCGGCAGATTTCTTTGATTTGAATGATTGGCAAGATTTACTTGTACA